GGTTGTTGGGAAAGTGAATGTTTGTAGATGTGGTGTCAGCCAAGCGAGGGCTGCTTTATCCTAAATGGTGTCAAGCTTCTCGAGTGTTGTTGGAGCTGCACCCATCCAGGCAAGTGGGGAGTATTCCAACACAATCTGGACTTATGCCTTGTCAGATGAACAGGATTCGGGGAGTGAGGAGGTGTTAGTGTTCATAGTCAGCACTCATAGTCTCTGACTTGCTTTTGTAGCCAATGTATTTAAATGTTAGTCCAGTTCAGTTTCTGGTCAATGGTAACCCCCAGCATTTGTTTGTAGCGTATATAAGCCAGACAGGATGAGATTTCCTAACCCAAAAAATAGTGGTGTATCAAATGAGCCTTTACAACAAAGGAACTGGTTCTGATGAAGAGTCAGTGGACTGGAAATGTTACGCTGCTTTTTTCCCAAATTGCCAACCATGGTAAGAATCCAATCTAGAAACTTTGCGCTGTGCAGTGTTCACCACCTCCTTTATGAACTTAAATAAAACAAAGAACTGTGAATGCTGGAAATCTGAAATAAAAACATAAATTGCTAGAGAAATTCAGCATGTCTGGCAGTGCTGTGGGAAGAAAGCAGAGTTAACATTTCGAGTCCAATAATCCTTCTTCAAAACTTCATTCTCTTTGACATTTGGAGCCGTGATTTTGTTCTGAGTGTTTACTGGCTCTTGGTTTACTTTTGTTCCTCAAAGCCACAAGCTCCCCAGCAGACTGAAGATGACAGGGCTAAGCTCTTGGCAACACACAGCCCTGACAAACTTTTTCAAGCAAAGCGAAAATTCAATGCTGCCCAAGATTTAGATGCATCTCTTCATGAGGGGGAAATCGTGGCAGTTCTTGAGAAACAGGACCCTCTAGGGAGTGTGAACAGGTGGCTCATTGATACAGGAGGTGAGTGTTTCCAATTCCCATCACTCTACATTCCTTTATTTGTTCACAGGATGTGGGCATCGCTGGCTAGGCAGCATTTATTGCCCATCCCTAATTGCCAAGAGGGCAGTTCAGAGTCAGCCACACTGCTGTGGGTCTGGAGTCACATGTAGGCCAGACCAGGTAAGGATGGTAGTTTCCTTTCCTAAAGGACATTAGTGAACCAGATGGGTTTTTCCGACAATCGACAATGGGTTCATGGTCATCATTAGATTCTTAATTCCAGATATTTTATCTGCCATAGCGGGATTTGAACACAGGTCCCCAGAATGTTATCTGGGTCTCTGGATTAACAGTTCAGCGCTAATAACACTAGGCCATCGCCTCTCCAATGTTGAGCTAAACTTTGCTGGTCTTTTAATATACTGCTAAATACAGTCATAGAGACATATAGCACAGAAAAAGGCCCTTCAGTCCATTGTGTCCGTGCTGGTGAGAAACAACCACCTAACTATTCTAATCCCATTTTCAGGTATTTGACCCATAGCCTTTTATGCCTTGACATCACAAGTGCACATCCAAATACGTCTTAAATCTTTTAAGGGCTTCTGCCTCTACGGCTCTTACCTTTCTGCTCCATTGCTGTCCTTGTATTAGAGTTTGTGTTATGATCTCAGCTGATGTTATTACTGGTCAAGACATATCGCAGACTGAAATCTGCCTTGATAGATCATGTTTTGTTTTTCTTTTGGTTTAGCAAAATGGTTTCCCACTGAAACACAAACTTTCAATATTATGAATTTGGTTTTAACAACATAAGTTTATTAAGCAAGATATATTAAGATAAAATAGAACAAACCCAACAACCTACATATACCTCAACCTGAATGATTTTGAAAATCAAGTTAACGCATAATGCTATTAATCTCAAAACACTCCTTTATAAATCTCTGTATAGCACCCAAAAGCACCACCTGCACAGGCCAGAGTAAAATCACCATCTTTAACATCTCTCCTAGTCACAGCGATTTCCACTCTCAGTCTGCAAAATGTTCATACATCTGAGCTTAAATGTTCTCAGCTTCAAATAACCTCTTTAGGGTTTTGTTCAAACACTCCTGTTCTGAGCTCCTTGCCTTAAGGTAATGTATTTTTTCTATGTTCTTCCTTACTCAAGAGCATTTCTTTACACATCCAACTTCATCTAAGATTTTTGCAGAACCACACCAATTTGAAACTTGACAAAAAATACTTTTGTTTTTCAAGCTATGGGTGTTTTAACCTAGCTTTAAAAAGTCAGGCCCAGAAGTAACTGATTGAAATCTTGATGCACAGTTGTTGGCCTTGCTCAATAATAAACTATTCTAATGTAAACAAAAATTCATTTGTTCTGGGGGCTACTACTTTATCTGTACAAGGCTGTTTTAAAAGAAATCACAATGGCTACAGAAATACATGCAAGTTAATCATTAACCCCTTCAGACACAGAAAAACTAATATATCACTAATATAAAATTTAAAGTCCAAACTTAAACATAGCTGATATTAAAATATAATATCTCTAAATCACAGCCCTTATATTACAACTGGATAAGGCAAAACTCTCCGCCACAGTGTAGCCTTTGTTGCATTGGAATCATTGACATTTAATCTTTATTGGAGAGTAACTTTAGGTTATTTGTGGGGTTCTTTTTATATTGAGTTTATCTTAAATTCACTCGTGAGACATAGGCATTAGTAGCTAGCCTGCATTTATTGTCTGTCATTTATACATTCTATGAAATTGAGGTGAAAATGTAATTCTGTTATTTAAACAGGAAGAGAGACAGAAAGCAGGAAACTACAGGGCAGTTAGTTCCACATCTATCAGAGGGAAAATGTTACAAGCCATTATTAAAGTTGTTATAACAGGGCACTTGTGATCAATTGAAGGTAATCAGGCAGACTTAACAGTTTTGTGAAAGGGAACTCCTTTCTTGCCAATCTGTTGAGTTTTCTGTGGAAGTAACATGGATACTGTGGATAATGGGGAACCAGTGGATGTGCTATGCAAATATTTCCAGAAGGCATTTGATATTTACAGTTATTGTGGAAGTAAAAAGGTGGTGTAGAGGACAGCGTGTTAATAAGGATAGAAAATTAGCTGGCTAACAGGGAACACAGTAAGCACAAATGGATCTTTTTTCAGGATGGTGACATATAACGTATGGTGTGCCACATGGGATCAGTGCTGGGACTGCAATTGTTTGCAATTTATATAAATGACCTTGATGAAAGGGTGGAAGGTAGGGTTGCCAAATTTGTTATAGAAACAAAGACAGTTAGGAAATTAAATTATGAAGAGCACTTAAGAAAGCTATAATAAGATAAAAATAGATTAAGTGAGTATAATGTGTGAAATTGTCCATTTTGGCAAAAAGAAAATAAAAGAAATGTATAATCTAAATGGTGAGAGTTTGCTGAGCTCTGATATACAGAGAGATCTGTGTGTCCAAGTGCATGAATCACAAATACAGCAAGTAATTAGGAAAGCTAATAGAATGTTATCGTTTATTGCCAGAGAAATTGAATGCCATAAAACCATCAGAAATAGGAACAGGAATAGACTGTTTGGCTCAAGCCTGCTCTCACATTTAGTAGGATCATGGCTTATCTAACGTTCCTCATGTCCACTTCTCTGTCCTTTCCCCATGATCCTTGATTCCACAACTGATAAACAATCTATCATTCTCAGCTTTAAATGTACACAAGGACTCTGCCCCCACAGCTCTCTGTGGCAATGAGTTCCAAAGGCTCTCAACCCTCTGATAAAAGAAATTCCTCCTCAACTCAGTCTTAAATTGGTGCCCCTTTGTTCTGAGACTATGCCCTCTAGACCCAGACGCTCCCATGAGGGGAAGCATCCTCTCAGCATTTATCCTGTCAAGCCCTTTTAAGAATCCAATATTTCAATATAAAATGCAGAAGTAGGGAGATTAGGCTTATATAGGGTGTCAGTGAGACCACATCAGGGGTGTTACGTACACTATTGGTCTCCTTATTTAAGGATCACTGTAAATGTGTGGGCAGCAGTTCAGAGAAGGTTTATCAGACTAATATCTGGAATGGGCAGCTTGTCTTATGAGGAAAGGTAGGGCAGGGTAACCTGTATCTGCTGGAGTTTGGAAGTGTCAGACATAGCTTGATTAAAATATTTGAGATTCTGTGGGGTCTTGACAGGGTAGATATGGAGATGATGTTTCCTCATATGTGACAATCTATAACTATCACTATTCAAAAAAGAATGATAAGGTGAATTTTCTTTCTCAGAATGTCATGAATCATTGGAGCTGTTTTCCTGATAGCTAGTGGAAGCAGAGTCCATGAATGTTTCGATAGATTCTTGGTAAGGCAGGCAGTGGGAGGTTATCATGAATAGGCAGGAATGAGGAGTTGAGGTTATAGTGAGATCAGCCATGGATATTATTGAATGGGAAAACAGGCTGAAGGAACCAATTGGCTCCTTGTTCATATAAAAATCCAAGTATTCCCTGTCTTAATCAAAACAAAGCTTCATTTTGAAATAACAAGTAGAGTTGTTAACCAAACAAGGCTGTTAGTTCTCTTTATTAAAATTGTGCCAACCATGGCTCAGTGTGTTGCACTGTCAGCCCTGACTCTGCAGTTTTGAGCCTCATTAAACCAAGGCTCGGTAAAAACAAAGGAATTCGTGGTGCTATTTTGATGAAGTGCAGACGCAAAGACACACAGACACACACACACACAGACTCACACACACAGACACACACAGACACACACACACACAGGACACACACACACACACACACACACACACACACACACACACACACACAGGGACACACACATTCTTTTTGTCTCTCTCTCTCACGCACACTGTCTTGTGCTCTCACATACACACATGGATGGATGTTGGTTGAAGGGCCAGGTGTCAAGTGAAATCAGAGTGCTTGGTTTAAAATTTGGGAAAGGACCAGGATCCATTATATTTTCAGTTCATTTGTTCCCACAAATTATTTGAAAGCACATAAAGGTTCAGCCATCAGGACACAGCCAGAAACTGATATAACGTGGGATGATAGTCAATGGATAAGTGTGGACTTGATCAGTAAAACATTTTGCTGGATGTATTCTGTTCAACATGGTATGATTCATATTTTTAAAAAAATGTGACAAAGCATTTTAGGGTGAATAACTGCTTTTGATTCTATGTAGTGATGCAAGGCTATGTGTATTCCTCATTTCTGAGACCATACAATCCTGCCACTGGCCAGAGTGGAGTGTCAACAGATGGATCAGTGCTTGATGAGGATTTTGATGACATTAGCCTGTTTGTATCTTCACCCTGCGGAGATACCAATAATGCAAGGAATCTGCACTTTAATGCCAGCGATGGTGGGGACCCTCTCAACGATTCTCAGGAAATGTCTACACCAGAGACATCGTCTGTTAATGGAAATGATGACACCTCAAGTGACCTAGAAGAGCAGCAGGTAAAGCAGGGCAATTATTTACAAGCTACCTTTGGCTAAACTTTGGCTGTTGTTACTGCTGAACCCTTTCCTGACCATACACCCTAAACTTGAAGTCCAAGTTGTTCCCTGAACCTATCCCATTTTATGAGATAGTAAGAACTGCTGATGCTGGAGTCAGAGAGAACACAGTGTGGAGCTGGAGGAACACAGCAGGCCAGGCAGCATCAGA